CACAGGTCTGCTCACCATCCAGATGCTTCTCTGGAACTTGGTGGGTCCCTCTTGACAGCACCAAAGCCTGATAGTACTAGGAGCCTCCAGGCCAACCCAGAGATGTCAAGCCATAAAAGGGTAGTCTTAAAGCAGGAGAAGCATCCTGCCAACCTTGGGTCATGAGGTCCAGAATTCTCCTGAAGAAGCAGGAGCAGGGGACTCCTGTCTCCTTGGAATAGATCAGGCACACTTGGGAGGGTGCATGTGCCTTTTATGAAAGCCTGGTGACACATACCCCTTCAGGGACATTGGCAAAGGGTAGAGGTGGCCTTGTCCAAATGTCAAGTGATGAATCTCCTACTAAAGTCTTCCCAAAGACTAAGGAAAGGACACTCCGGAAGAGGGTCGCCAGACAAGGACCTGCATTCGGAGCATGGGTTCTGCCTGCATCAGGGAGATTGTGGGTGCTGGCTCCCCATTTGGTGACAGGCATTTTGACAGCCACCCTGGTTGACATTTTCATGTTCCAGGAAGGGGACTAGCAGAGGGTGAGAATGACAGCAAGTTCAGGCAGGAGCAGGCCCTCTTAAGCAAACAGGAAGGTAACTCCCATTCAAGGGGGCAGCCCTCCCTGCCCAGAGGCCTTTTCAAACTCTGAGCTTCACCCCTTAATGCACTGAGGATGGGGTGCAGGTGAGAACAGGGGCTGTGGGACCCTCTCTTTCCACGGCATCAGCTTCTTGAGAACTTACTCATGCTAGCCCAAGAAAGCCCAACCAAACCTCCAGAAGAAACCTTAGTGCATATGAGCCAGCATCAGCCCCTAAAAGGCAAGAAGCTGGGTCCCCAGGAGGGATGCGGTCAGTTCAGGCCAACGGTTACCTGGCAGCCTCACAGCCCAGGGGGCTCAGCAGCTCTAGGGGGAAGGTTTTCTCTGGGCCATGGCTCACCTCACAGCCCAGATACAGGACTGGAGAGGACATGGCTCACATCTGCTCTGTCTTGAGGTCCTTCTTCAGTCCCCAACTCTTAATTTTCCAGCGAAAAGCCCAGGTCGGGCCTCTTCCCATCTGGAAGTAAGGCTGCAGGAGGACCTGAGATTGGAACCGTCTCTACCCTTCCTGGCACTCCGGGGTCACACATCTAGGACGGAGTCAGTACTATGCAGGTGAGCCCTCCAGACAGCCCCTTACTGACTGCCCACTCTAGTTCAATTTACTCTCCCCTCCCCTCCATACAAATGAGTCTCCACCAGGACATATGGATTTTTTTTATTTTAAGCTGGGGCCATCTCTCTCTCTTTGACCTCCACACGAGAGCTGAGACCCATATGTCCCTACAACCATCTCACACACACAGTGTAGTAAAAAAAAAATAAACAAAAACTGTATGTATACACATTAATTATCTTTACCAAGTTGTAGTATACATCGGGGTTTTTTTTTTCTTCACTTTTTCCAGGTTCTAACCTGGAAATGTATTTTTGGGTTTGGGGCATAGTTGATATGTGTGCACATATACTGAATTTACAAAGGACAAATTGAGGATCACAGTTTCTCATGATCTTTAAAAATCATAAATTGAGACGGGCGGTGGTGGTGCACGCCTTTAATCCCAGCACTCGGGAGGCAGAAGCAGACTGATCTCTGTGAGTTCAAGACCAACCTGGTCTACAGATCGAGTTCCAGGACAGCCTCCAAAACAATACAGAGAAACCCTGTCTCAAAAAAAAAAAAAAAGAACAAACAAACAAACAAAAAACCATAAATTGATCACTTCACACTCTCCAATGGCTTCCTGTGGCACTGACAATAAAATTCGGCCTACCACAACGGCCACCACGAGCAGTTATTCCACCGGGTGCCACCAGCCAGGCTCTGAACCTCCTGATCCTTCAGGCGCTCTTCTCCAACCACAGAGCTGAATACGTGGTTCCAACACGGCGCCTGGAATGCCCCTCTTCCCGGCTGTGTGCAGCCAGCCGTCTCCTGTCCTCAGGCCTTTTCTGAGTTCTCCCAGGATAGTCTGCTCTGGCCTCCCAATGCTCCCACCGCCCCAAGCGCTATTTCCCCACCTGGGGTATTTCTTCTCATGATTTGGTAGAGAGCTGCCCCCCCTACAGGTAGAGGCCACCTATCACTGCCTAGCACAGGCCTGGCAGGCAATGAGCACATTCCCTCCACAAGTTTCTGTTAAGTAATGAAGCAGATGTCTTCTGCACAGGTTTTCATCTGCAAACTGCCTCCCAACACCAAGCTTCCCCACACTGGCCCCCTCCCCCACCCCCCCCCCACACGCCCGGTGAGGGTCAGAGGAGGAAACGGGTGCCCGGCTCTCCCTCCCTGTGCTATGCAGGAATAAAGACAAGAACTGGTACCTACCTTACATTCCTAGAAAACCCTCCTCCAACTGCCATTGGAAAGTTGGAGGTGACACCCTTGCCCCTCATGTATCTAATCCCAGATGCAGCATGTCCTGGCAGCCAGGCTAGCTAGAAGAGGTTCTCAAGTGAGCCCCAGTAACAGGAAACAGATACTACCTAGGGAACAGAACCCTCCAGGGCAGGCAGCCTGCCCGTCCCACATGACGGTCCCCTGAGCCCAAGACACCTGGGTTCCTCTCAGTGGAAATCCATCCAGTCCCAGCGACAAATGCACATCCAATCCCGAGTCTGCAGTACAGACCAGGGTGTCCAGGGTTACCCTCTTGAAGACATTTCCTTCCTGGGGCTGTTTCCAGGGCGAATGCTCCATGGTGCCAAGATTAATTTTTAAGAATGAGGAAAGGAGGGATTGAAATGCCATGCACAAAAGCTGGGAAGGGAGGGAAAGACGGAAGAAAAAAATACACAATAAGGTTGAAGCAGACAAATGGACACAATCAATTAGAGGTAGGAAAAAGTGTGGGGTCTCTTCCTCCCCAGAAGTGAAAATAACCAAAATTGATAAATGGACACAATCCCAAAGAGTTCTTCTGGGCTCAGTACAAGGTCATTTAAATTGCAATGGCCCACGTTGGAGATGGTAATCACTTCCTAGTATGAACTAGGCCCTGGGCTCCATAATACTGCTATTACAATAATGACACAGCTAGCCAGGTGTGTTGGTGAACACCTTTAGTCCCAGCACTAGGGAGGCAGAGGCAGGCAGATCTGAGTTCAGGGCTAGCCTGTCCTACAAAAGAAGTACCAGGACAGCCAGGGCTACCCAGAGACCCTGTATCAAAGAGCAAACTAATAACAATAATAAAAGATATAGTTAATAATAATAATAGACAACGACAAACTTCCCAAACGCACACACTGAACACAGTACCCAGGATTTCCTGAGGCTAGTGCTCTACCACTAAGATACTCCCCGACCCCAACAGCTAACGACTGTCTAGCACTATGTGCCAGGCACAGCGTTCTGAGATTACACCAATATTTTTCATTCCCAAGACCACCCCCACCAGGTGGATATTGTCAGAATTTAACCTCATTTTACAGATAAGTAACCTGACCAACAGGGTTGGGTTAAACTGATCATAGAGAGCCACACCACGAGCAGCCGCACTGGTGTACAACTCCAGCTTCCTGGTTCTAACTACTATCTGGCTCTCCTGGTACAGGTTAAAGCCTTCCAAACAGTATCCTCCAAACAATCAGCATATGCCAGTTCCAAAGATAGGTGCACAAATCCGCCCTTTTTTTTTTTTACTGGAGAAAGTACAGACGATGTCTGGAAATAGCCAAACTCAAGCTGCCCCTCTTGCTGAGGAATAAGACCCAAGCGTGCTGAATCCCAGCACCCTGAGAGAAACTTCCTAAGGCAGCATCTGATTGCTGTAGGTCAGACCCCTCCGTCAGAGCCAGCGCGGGGGCGCCGGGCCCGGAAATTCCCACAGAGCTAAAGCAAACTTCCCAGGAAAACTCCTCGGCTTCCTCCAAGTCCTTGTCACGGAGATCGCTGCCAAGAGCGCCAGCTGCTGGGGACCCTCCCAGGCGGGAGCCGCCGCTCAAGCGCCCGGGGTCCTCCCGGAAAGGTCCAAGGCTGAAGTTCAAAATTCACGTCCAACGCAGGCCAGATTCCCGGCCCCTCCAGGGACTCTGGGGCAACTCCCACTCCCGCGTCCCTCTCCCCCAATTCCAAGTAATGGGGCACCTCCTGCCAGGACATCCAGGCTGCCTGCGGGGAGATCTCGCGGGCGACCCTAGAGCTCTTAGGGAATCTGAGCAGCCGCAGCCGGCGCGTGCACACACACGCGTGCACACAAACACACCCGCGTGAGTGTGTTTACGTACCGAACGTGGGGTGGGAAAACAATGGCGAACCGCTGGGACTAAGCGACCACCCCTTTCCTCATCCCACCAGCCCTGTGCTCAGTTTATTTCTACCGTGAAAGGGGGAGTGAAAGACGCTCCTCCGACACCCCACCGTGGGAGGTAGGGGTGGGAAGGGGCAGGCTGGAGTGGAGAGAGGACAAGAGCAGCAACCGCAGAAAAACGGGAGGCGGCGCCCGGCTGGTCCGCGGAGAATGAACCGGAGCCGTGGGAAGGGTGCGCGCTGGACCCCCATGCACCCAGGGGTCGGAGCTCCGCGTCGCGGGCACCCGAGCCCCACGCGGGGCGCACATCGGACGTCTAGACTCGGACTGGGAATGTGAAAACTGGGCGGGCTGGTCACGCTGGGGAGAAAGACCTAGAGCCGGCGGGGCGCAGAGGGCGGGAGGGTTGAGGACTTCCTAAGCCCAGCTCGCGCGGCGCGCGCACGCCACCCCCATGGTTTGCAGCCACTGCTCTCCTAAAAGACTCGGGTTAGCGCCGCAGCCACTGCTCTCCTAAAGGACTCGGGTTAGCGCTGGCGCCAGCGGCCGGCGTTGTGAGGGGTCCCGTAGGATCCGCTCCGTCTGGCAAAACTTTGCCCAAGATGGAAAGTAACGCGGAAGAGAGCCAGCGTATCCCCACGAACACGGGGGCGCGCGTGTCAAACTTCGCGAGGCTGGGGAGAGGGGCGCGCGTTGCGGAGGGGCGCACTTACTAATCGGTCAGGCGCTGGCCCGAGGTCGCAGCTCCGCGCTCCCGCTTCTGCTCCGTACGTCCCGGCGGCCAGCAGCCTGGCCTTCCCGCTCACATGCCCGGGCAACGCGGCGGGCAGTGGGCCGGGGCGGCGCGGCCGGGCGGAGGCACGCCCCCCCGCCGTGGGCTGGAGGCGCTCAGGACCCGCGGCCCTCCGGGCTCCGCTGGCCACCGTCGCGGGCTCCGAGCTGAGGCCGGGCCGGGCGGCGCCCTCCGCCGAGCCAGGCCGCTCGGCACTCTGCCCTCTGCCCCCGGCTGACCGTGCTGCCTTCCGCGGTCCGGCTCCCAGACTCTCCGCCGCTGCGCGGGCCAGGCCGGCGGGTAGTGCGCTCTGTCCCTCCGCACAGTTCCGAGCCCGCTCGGTTCAGAGCCAGGGCCTCCGAAGCTGAGCGCGCCGCCCTGGCCTTCGACCCGCGCCGGCCGCTCCGGATCTCGGGTTCCTGAAGCCGCGCTCGTACACTTCAGTTCCCAGCCGGGACTGGAGCAGGGAGCTCGCCACTCGCTTCTGCGAAAGCCACTCGACAGCCGCGGAGGAGAAAGAGGGAGGGAGGGCGCGCGCGGGCGGGCGGGCGGGGGAGGAGGGAGGGTGGGGAGATGGAGAAGGAGGGAGGGACGGAGTTTCCTCCTCCTCCCAGCAGCTGGTCCAGCCAGGCCTCAACAGCTGGAGACCTGTGCTGAGAAGGGGACTGTGGAGTTCTCCAGAGCCAGTGGAGATGTAGCGACTACTGGATAAAGAAAATAGGAGAAAGAAGGTGAATTCGGCTCACTCCCTCGACTCAGGTTGCTGCAGAGAGTTGCTACAGAGAATCCTCATGCCTTTGAACAAGCCCTAAGAAGTTGTTTGCCCTGCTCACAGCCTCTAAAAACAGAGAGCCTGTATTGAGCTTTTTTTTTTTCTCACTTTGTAAATCAGGCTGGACTCATAGAAGCCCTCTTGCCTCTGTCCCCAAAGTACTGGAATCAAAGGCGTGCTCTACCTGGCCCAGCTTTAGATTGAATTCTTTAAAAACTAGACTTGACAGCTGCGGGGTGTGGCTCATACTTATAATACCAACATTGGGGAAGCTAAGGCAGGAGGGTCTCCATTTGAAATCAGCCTGAGGGGGGAAGACAGACCTACTTTAGCCTGATCTGATCTCTGACAGACAGCTTCTACACGTCTCTGGCCACTCCCTAGTCCTGTCCTTTTCAGAGTCTCTCCAACAAGTCTCTTTTCGTTTCTCCTGCCCTATTTAAGAGGAAGGCATGAATGAAGAATGGATTCTCCTCACCCAGCCCATTTATTGAAAGTCCACAACAGACCTGACCTAAGCAGGTGCCAGGGACCACCAAGATGAATGGCGCCGTGGCAACTCTTCCAGGATTCCCATGTTGTGAAGGAATGGGTCAACCACAATTCTAGAAAGTGCTAGAGACTCAGGCAGGGTAAGCCATATGGCCTACCAAGGACACTAAGCCGTGGGGACTGGAATCAGAGTCTCCTTAGAGAGGCCACTGTCCAAAGTGGGTCTTGGGGACCTGCCAGAGTACTGTAGGTTGAAGGAATGCCAATTGTGGGACTGTATAACTGTCCTGAGGGATGGCCAGCCAGGAAGCTTACGAAGTCTTTTAGGAACTGCATTTCATCATTCCCCATTTGCTGCCTGGATGACAAGTCTTTTTATTGTCTTTTGCCTTTGGGGTCTCAGTCTGGTATCAACTCTTCAGGAATTCTTTCTTGGGGGAGGGGTCAAATCAGGGCCAAGAACTCTGTGCATGGGCTCTGAGAACCCCCCAATCCCTTTGTCTGTGTACTCCCCTGGATGGTAAACTCTGCAGGACAGGGACATACCTCTTGTTCATGGTTAGATCTCTTGTGTCTAGACAGGAGTTGGCAAAGAGGAGGTTCTTAATACATTCTTGTTTATCAGTTGGCTGATTAAAGGGAATGGTGTTCTAAGCAAGGCTCTGATGAGGTCAGTCTAGCCAGAGGTATGGAGATAGGCCAGTAACGAGCATCAAAAAACAAAAACAGATGGGAAAAGTCAACATTAACTATTGAGGGTCTGGTTTTAGGGTGTTCAAATATCCTGTAACATTTCCTCCTTTTTGTCTAAATAAAAAAGAAGGGTTTCGCCGGGCGTTGGTGGCGCACGCCTTTAATCCCAGCACTCGGGAGGCAGAGGCAGGCGGATCTCTGTGAGTTCGAGACCAGGCTGGACTACCAAGCGAGTTCCAGGACAGCCTCCAAAGCCACAGAGAAACCCTGTCTCGAAAAAACCAAAAAAAAAAAAAAAAAAAAAAGAAGGGTTTCATTCTAACACAGTAAAACTATATACAATAAAAACAATTGTTGAGCATTGGTGGCTTTTAATCCCAGCACTTGGGAAGCAGAGGCAGGTGGATCTCTGTGAGTTCAGGACCAGCCTGGTCTACAGAGTGAGTTCCAGGACAGCCTCCAAAACAATACAGAGAAACCCTGTCTCAGAAAAAAGAAGAAGAAGAAGAAGAAGAAGAAGAAGAAGAAGAAGAAGAAGAAGAAGAAGAAGAAGAAGAAGTATCAGGTATTGTCTAAATAAAAAGGAAATGTTTTAACTGTAACACAGTAAAATTGTAAACACAAAGAATGATTCTCATTGAAGAATTATATTCACAATGCCCAATCTGTTAGTAACTGGAAAACTTGGAGAAACTATTATCTATTTTATCTTGGTGAATCCAAAGTTTTATACCTAAACCACTTTCTATCATAACTTATATTGCCAAGCTACAAATATCTTTTTAGGCCTTAAAATATTTTCTTATATAAATAATTTAAGCTTTTATGTCTCCCAACTCTATAAACTTTACCTCTCTTTTATAAGTTTCTTTTCTGAATTTGGTAACAATGAAAATGGTATAGCTATTTAGTCTTCAACCCCCATCAGAGACCAGAGAAGGATGAAATACTACCTGAGTAAACAGGAAGTGCAGGAAAAACAACTTCCAAAACTACAGAAATGATAGAGACAGCTTCCAGGACAGTCACTCAAGTTTCTCTGCAACGTTGGGATATCCATCTTCAGCCTTCAAGCCTAGAATATCTGACAGACTTTTCTGTGAAGCAGGAAGTTTGAAGGGCTGACCTACCTTATCTTGGCAAAGTTAAGCAGTCAACGTCCTGTAGCAAGCTTTCTCAAATGTAGTCAGACTGCGAATATCCCACAACTTCCTTTGTGTCCTGCCTATCCAATTAGGACAGCATATTTTCCACAGTCAAGGCAAGAGCAGTTTCTTTACCCAGTGGCTAACTTTGCCACAACAAAGACAAACTGTGTATGGAGGTTGTTCAGTGCCCATCATCTTCTCTGGAGTACATGGGTGCTGTCATGTTATTAAAACATTTTAAATGCCATATTCTGTAGATCTCTGAAGTGTTTGAAAACCATCTATCTAATATAAATGTTTAATCCTGAAAACATACCTAAAACATGTTATAGATGAACAACTGCTAACCTGAATTTCTTAATTATTCTAAACAGTTTGTAATAATAGAACTTTACATTACATTTTAAAATGAACTGCATAAGTACCATATCTTTTTTTTTTTTCTGAGGCAGGGTTTCTCTGTGGCTTTGGAGGCTGTCCTGGAACTCGCTTGGTAGTCCAGGCTGGTCTCGAACTCACAGAGATCCGCCTACCTCTGCCTCCCGAGTGCTGGGATTAAAGGCATGCGCCACCAACGCCCGGCTAAGTACCATATCTTAAAGAATAGAAACATGTCTACAATATGTTATAACAAAAATAACCTTAAATTTGTATCAATATACTAAAATCTATACCAAAGTAAAATATTTGAGACTAGTAGTTGCATTCAATAATCTACCCTTTTATCCTATCATCCCTATATCCCCCTTTTTCTTTTCATAAAAAGATCCCTGAATCTAACCTCCTTTGTTAGTTTCCTCCCTGACCATGACTAATAACAACTAGCAACTAAACTCCCCCAAAACAATGACAAACATCTATAACCCACTGAACGACCAGATACCAGCTGTCCCACCTCTTGGGAATGTGGATGTTGTGTTCTTAAAATTACTTCCTACTATCTGGGGGTAATGGAATCTTTAGGGGACCCTAAGAAAATTGAGATAATGGTCAAGTCCTGGGAGAGACAGCTATTGTCTAGTCAGTAGTGTGATGGGAAAGTGCAGAGCTTATTTTAAATCCTGGCTGGAGTAGTCTGTAAGGCAGGACCATCTCAGCTAGCAGCTTTGAAGTCCTGAGCAGTTTGTAGTTCCAAACTGACCTTTGGGTGGTGTTTGGCAGCTTAATGGCATTACTACATTCTAGGTGAATTTGTCATTGCAGGGTCCCATTAATCTTCTGGAGACCTCAATAGTCACTGCTAGAAATGATTATGGTTCAGTGCAGAAAGCATAAACATTTTAAAGTCATATACGGCAAATCTCCTAAAGATTAGAGGACCACAATCTATTAAGTACATCCAGGGTACACAAACCAGTGTTTTTATCTAAGTTGTTCTAGTTAACAATAAAGACTCAAAAGTCAGATGCTGGAGTGAAAACTTGTTGGATCAAAGATGTCAAGAAGCAACCAGCTAACCTTCCATTTTGGTGGGAGACCCAGCAAGACACATTGCTCCTCCCACCAAACCAAAAAAGCCCTCAAATCACCAAGTCCCTCCCTACTCCTTCCTGTGAATCTCTCTATCCATCTTCCTAGGTCCTCCATACTCTCTATGATTCTTATCAACTAGTCACTGACTCCACCCCTGATCCAAGTTTAATTATATTAACACAGTCTAGGAGTTAACACAGTCACATCATGATCAATTATCCCATAACAGTGACTGAATGGGGCCATTTCTCAAGCCAAGAGAGAGTTATCCAAGTTCCACCATCTTTTCCTCCTCCTAGACAGCATGCCTGTGCATCCATACCTAGTGGTTTCCCTCTGGTCTCTGACTCTGGGGTATCTCTTTGTGGGCCACTTCCTGTCCCCATCCTTAGCTATAGCAGATGGAGACAGATAGTGTCTTAGTTAGGGTTCTGTTGTTGTGAAGAGATACCATGACCACAGCAGCTCATGTAAGGAAAACATGTAAGTGAAGGGGCTGGCTTGCTTACAGTTTCAGAGGTTCAGTCCATTATTATTGTTGGGACCCAGAAATGGAAATCCATTCTGTCCTGCAAGAGAGCTCAACTCACTCCTATTGTCTCTAAGACATTAGCTTAATGGCTACAGGGTGCCCTGGCCTCTGTGGTGAATGGCTCCTGTCTAAATAACAATAGACTTGGGCCCAGGCTGGTTTACTCTCACCCTGAAGGTTAGGTGATACAGGTAGCTCTGAAGTGCCTGAAGGCCAAGTGGTATGTGCAGCTATGGAGTGTCTTTAGGATTAAGGGAAGTAATTGCTATTTGCCCTTTTTACATGATAATACGAGTCTTCTGCCATTGTCCCCACCTGTGGTTGGTTACTTAAGATGGTGTATGAATAAACTGAGGTACATTCAGTATGGACTGAAATTGCCCTCCTGACAGCTATTCTGCATTTC